AAATAGAAAAATTCAGCACACTGTAATGTATTTAATATAATATTTTGTGTGTTAGTAGCTCAATTGCTAATTATCATACATTTTGACAATTATATACTATTGTAGGTACTGTTTCACCGAAACCTCTTTGGCATGCCTTCCCACTTTCAGTGTCTCACCAAATGTTGGAAGGCATGCCAATAATGATTTTAGTAAAATCTTAATTTCTATATATATTTAGATGTGTTAGCTGGCTAGGAAGTTATGTGTGGCCTCTCAAGAAAAATAGGCAATATTATGCCAATTCCAACATCTCTGTCATTTATATGTAGTATTTTAGTAAAATCATTGTTCTCTTGGGTAATTTGCCCTTCTTTTTATCCTTGAGGGCATCATGATGCTTTTTTAACCACTAACTCCTGGTATTTACAAGTAATATGGATGCAGACAACTCTGGAAGAAGCCAACAATATATTTCGTTTGGTGATCAACAGACATTGTTTGAAAGCTAATATTACACATCATTTAATCATGCTTTTAAACAACACTAGAGCACACAGATACAGTTCTCAGATCAAAAAGTACAAATACTACTGTCCTTACAAAAGGTAAACAAACAGCTTCATATTACTGACAATACCATTACCATTTATCTCTATCATAGGTTAATAAATTGCAAAAATGAAATCTTCCTACTTTGACTAGATAAATGTTGCATTGATATATTGAAGTTTGAAAATTGAAAAATAAATAGCTTAATTAACTCAAAGTCACCTTTAGGAATTGCCCAAACACTATTTTGCAAAATTGCTTTCCTTAATTTAAGAAACCTTGGAATACCAACAATGTCAAATACGTTGCATTAAGGCATCTCTATACAGCTTCAGATGTAAGTTTCTTATTGCAGATAAAACCCTTTCATTATCTGGTAAAATCTTCAATTCATAGCCTTTATTAAGAGCCAGAGGCTTTCAATCACAGACAATGTGAGGCTACTTTCATCAAAAATGATGTGTGGGAGCATAACTTGCAGATTTTTATCATGCTAACAGTATTAGTGGAGTGCTTATATTTGATGCAATATGTGGCAATTGCAATCACAAATGCTATTCACTATTGCAAATTATCCACTATGGAACTGGCACATAATTGGATGTTTGCTATGCCAAGAATATTTATTTCCTGAAGAGTCTTAATCAACAACTTGACCTATAGTAGACCAATAATTGCTCAAATAACCTATCAATCATCCATAGGCCTAAACACTTTACCAAGATTTTTCTTTGCCATTGTTGACAGCCCCTTGATTCTCTTGGGATAGTCACATAGAAGTTCCAAGAGTTGATCTGCATACATATCTACCAACTTATTCATAAAAGGACAACCATTCTTATTGCTCTCACCAAAAGCTACCTTTAGTTCTCTGACATTGGGCATAATATGCCTTACAACATTGGCATACTCTTTCTTCAACCTAATAGAGGATTTATCAAATGCTGCACATCTTGCATATGTTATATTGAGGTTTCTTACTTTCCTCCAAGGACTTCCACCAGTTTTTAATACATATTTAAGATATTTAAAATCAATGTCATTAATATATACTGTATGAAGCTTGGGGAACAACACATGGAAGCTATTCCTTGGTTTATAGTTTTTACTTTGAAATTTGCCATTCTTGTGCTTGTTGCTAATTTTGTTTGCTTTGCTCTCTATCTGTATATTATTGGAAAACCCCATAGCAGCAAAGCTAACCTGCATATTCCTATCACCCTCAGAGTCATCTTCATCCTCATCTGACGCATCACCAGTATAACCACAATCATTATTCACAAGCAAATCATGACTAACTGAGTTATAGTGTCCTTGCTTATTTTGGGATGTATCAATAATTTCAGGTTTAGCATTAAAGCCAAACAAGTCACCTACTTCAATAATAGCAGCACTGTCATCAGAGTTACAATAGGACATTTCTGGCCATTCTCCATGCTCATATGCATTTTCATACTCTGTTTCATGCCCACCTTCATAAAATGTCACAACCAAGTGTGTCAAATATTTAAAGGTTGCTCTGTTCATATCATCCAAGTCATTTAAATGCCTCCAATTAAGCCCTTGGTCAACATCATAGAGATGCAGATATTTAAGAGGTAGTGAATTAAAATATGGCTGGCTATGAGCTACCCATGCATTCATTGAAATTGTCAGTTGAGTCAAATTGGGAATTTTCATTGAACTATCCAGCATTAACCCTCTGTACCCTTCCAATCTTTGTAGTTTGTGTGAATAAAATTCAGTAAGAAGTTTGTTAAATTCTACACCTTGGCGACTATTCCACTCTGGATTCAGCTTTAATCTTGTAACATTTGGAAAGGCATGGAATACATTCTCAGCCCATTTCATGGATATATTGTCATCATCATCATCATAATCATAACTATGCTCAAATTCATATCTATTGCAAATGGTCAATGTATTTATATTTGGCCACTTGCACCTAGCAGCATGCTCAAGTATTTTCAGAAGTTGGTTAAAATTGGCAATGGACATACTAAATTCAGTAAGCATTGGAAAGTAGGCATATGAGTTCTTTGTCAAGTCCCTATCACTACTATACTTTGTTTTTGAGCTTTGCATACTGTTGAAGTTGTATTTCACATTGAGTCTCTTTAGGTTGCTAAACTCTACAGATGTGCCCAATTGCTGTTGCACAAGTGCAGGCCACTCAAAGTCATAAGGCAAGGGAGATAGAGACAGGTGTTCAAGCCTCTGAGCAGCCTCAACTGAAAACACCCCAGCAAGCTTTGGGGAATCATCTAACACAATATCCAAGCAGGTGATACTTGCAGAAATATCTCTTAATTTATCAGTATCTAGTGCTATATTGCTGGATAAGTAGCTGAGATTGCTAAGGAACCTGGATTGTATCTCTTCTGAGAGTATCATACCAGTTCTATGATTGTTGTTATCTATCTTTAACTTTTTAATATTTGGCATATGCCATGCTAAATTGTCAACAAACTCTTCACATTCATTTCTAATCTCATATTCGGTTTTTCTTATAGTAAAAAAAGGATATCCATTACAATTGATAAACAATTTTGTAAAACATGGCCAGTTATAATCATACCAGTCAAGCAACTCATTAACATTATTGATGGGTTCTGAAATATCTGCATAGCCATTAATAACAATTTTCAGGTCCTTTGCCAAATGAGTAAGGTTGTTTTCTTTAAACAAACGAACATTGGATTTACTGTGAATAAGATGGTCAGTCTCTTCACTGTCATCATTATCTTTATTTGAGATGTAACTGATATAAACAATTTTGTAGGCTATCTTCACTCCTACTTTTCACCACTGAGAACACACTGAGAGGTAAGGCAATGTTTTATGCCATACTGGTAAACTGTCAAGGTTTTCTCCAATCAGATACTTTAGCAATTGTTGGATAACAGTAGTGGGTAATTGGCCAAATGAAAACATAGTAGTAATGATAAATAGCTGAGAAAATTGAGTTATAGTGGAATATAGTTGTAAAAAATTAATTTATAAAAAAAAGAAAAGAAGAAAAATAAATTTTAAGCTGCTACCTTTGATATTTACTCCATGGTGAGCAGACAAAAATGTTTCAAAGGGGTTTTAATGAGCCTTTGTAAAAAGCACTAAAAAGCTTCATTGTGTAAAGGCCTGCTCTCCTTTTTAATAGGGGTGCATGCCTCATCTAATAAAACTATAAAGGAAAAAAAGAATTCCAAGAAATGTAAAGCTGCCCAAACTTGCCAGCATGTAGTCCAGATCTCATGAGGTGTACCAACTACCACAAATCATGACTAGAAGATGCAACATGCTAGCACTAAATAAACAAGGCATTTGAAGCAAAGTATACACAGATATGAACTGTTAATTGTTCAAAGTGAATTTAATTGAAATTGCAAGCAGTAAAAGGTTACTGTCATGGTAAGCCCACTCCAAGGGGTCAAAGTCACTTATAATAATGGTAAAATTGTTTCTATAATACTTGCCAATTGTAGCAGAGCAGCCAGAACCTCTAGAACCTCACTAACCATCACTGATGGTAAGCATACTTGAAATAAAAGTGGTGTTGAACATATAAAAAAACAATTCACTTTAAGGCACTCCAGATATTTTAATGGGTGTTAAGGTAGATCTTGATCTTTATCCAACATAGACCTCACATAGAGATTGATGACTAATTATAATTTATAGGAGAAAACACATTGCAAAAATTGATATTTCCAAGTAATAAGTTATTCCAAATAAAGAATAATGAGCACAGCTATTCGCTGGTATAGCGTACTTGGAAATATCTAATTTATTGAATTATGCATATCTGTTATGGCAGAAACATGACATCTGCGATTCGCTGATCGCGATCAACAGCGCACGATCTATGCTGTGAGGTCCTGCGCTCGGTTGGGGACCATCACTCAACTCCGCCGCACCCACTGACGCTCGTGGGTGCTTATAAATCGCTCAGTGCACCCACATTTCTTCACGTTATCGGGATGCTCTTCTGGCCTTGTTTCTTTGATATTAGCTTCAATACAATTAATAACTATCAACTCGTTCAAAAACCTCTATGCCCGCGTTTCCTGCTTCGCCCACAATAAAGTTAACTATATCTATGCATGCAAATATATATAAATTATTGTACCTTTGTAAATATGTACAAGTGTAATTTTTGTTTGCCTGTGATGGACATCAGACAAGAAAAACAACGCGCATTGCGGGACATGCGCAATAAACCACCTGACGTTGTATCTGCACGACGCAAGTGAAATAAATAGCTTTTTATGATAGTTTTTATATGTAACGTTTTTCTCACCCGCTAGTTTTAGTTTTTAAGAATAACACATAGTTTATATCGCAACATATCGTCATAACCTTTTAACATATATTTCATATATTACTTCTTATATTTTAATCTGCGTTTATTTCACATATACTTTATTCTCGTTATTTGTTTTACCTGAGCTGAACCGTGACATGCCAACGTAGCCTACTTGGCTCAGGGGTAGAGCGTTGCTCTCGTAACATCTTCTCGCTCAGTGATTAGAATTGTGAGAGTCCAAGCAAAGGTCGTCAGTTCGAATCTGGCAGTGGGCACACCTTTTTGTAATTTTTTATTTAGTTTTTTGTCAATATTATTGCTGGTACTTTAAAAGGAAAGATAGGTAAAATTCATAATAATGATTTCCTTTATTTATGATTTTTGTAGTAGCATCGTGTTGTTAGAAATATAGAGTGGATTTACTTGGATTGAGATAATAGATGCTATAAAAGGGTTGTTGACAGATCAGTCGAGGTTCATATCCTTGTACATGGCTTCGAGGGTGGTTTTGTTGTGATCGCGGATATCAGAGCGCTTAAGTTTCATGGCGGGGGTGAGTCTGTCGTTTTCGGGGGTCCACAGATCGGAATCAATGACGATAGCGGCTAGGGTTTCTTGTTTCTGGAGGGAGTTGCGCTTGGCGACGCGTTGGAGGTCAGCTAGGACAGCGCGGACGAAATCGGGGTTGGTGGCGAGTTCTGAAGGGTTATTGTACTCAATAGAGGCTTCATCGGCGATATGAGCGATCTGGGAGCCATCGATATTGACGACGGCGCAAGGCTGGGACATGCGTGAGTCGGCAAAGACGCAAATGTTGTGGATAAAGAGAGAGTTCTTGTAAGTGGCTTCGAGGGCCTCCAGGGCGATGTATTCGCCGGTGACCATTTTGACCAGGTTCTTTTTGCGGTCAATGATGGATAGTTGGCCCTGGTCGGTCCATTCTCCAATGTCGCCGGTTTTGAGCCATCCGTCTTCGGTTACGGTTTCGGCGGTGAGTTCGGGGTTATCCAGGTACCCCTTGAACACCGAGGGACCGCGTACCCAGACTTCGCCTTGGCCGTTGCGGGCAAAGTATTTGGCTTCTGGTACATCGACCAGCTTCATTTCGATGGATGGGCAAGGTGCGCCGACGTTGTTGAAGGTAGGGTCATCGGGTAATTGTACGGACACTAGGCCGCTGGCTTCTGTAAGACCGTATCCGTGGATCATCGGGCAAAGAGCGGCGTTCATCAAGCGCTGAACGTTGCGATTCACGGGCGCGCCACCGGTGATGACAAACTTGAGACGGCCTCCAGTGGCTTCCTTGGTTTTCTTAAATACTATTCCATCTAGGAAACCGTGGGGCAGACCATAGTGGCGCAATCCGTTTTTCAGCTCGACAGCATTGTAAAACAGCTTGCGTACCAACCATCCGCTGCGGTCAACCTGCTTAAGCATGCCGGCACGGATGGTGTTCCACACCTGTGGCACGCCCATCATTACCATGGGACGCAGCTCCTTGATGTCGCCTTTGCACTCGCGGACGCTCTCGTCAGTAAGAGTGCGCGGGGTGCCGTAGCCAATGCGGATGCCAGAGTACATGCAGTAGATGTCGACAAAGAAGGCCAGAACGTGGGACAGTGGGAGGTAGGACAGAATGACGTCGTTGTCGTAGTCGATAAAGGGGGCGATGAACTCATGGATACCGCCGGCCACAGCCATCACGCCTTGGTGGCAGATTAGAACGCCCTTGGGGCTGCCGGTGCTGCCGCTGGTGTACATGACCATGGCGATGTCCTGGGGGCCGGCAATGGACAGTTCAAGCACCTCGGAGCGTCCCAGATCGGCAACCTCATCCATGGTGTATAGGCTGAAGCGCTCCTTGACCTTGTCCAGGGCCTCCTGAGCACCCTTGGGCATGCCGTAGACGTCCTGGTAGTAGATTACGTTCTTGACAGTCTCTACATCGGCCATGATGCGTGCTAGGATGGGGATCTGGTCGGCCTTGAGGAAGATGGACTCGACCTTTGCTTGGTTCATAGCGTGCAAGAGGCCGCTTTCGCCCAGCGTATCGTATGCAGTGACGATCTGCATCGACTGCGAAAAGGCGCCTACAATAGCAAAGATCTGAGCCAGTCGTAAGTAGACTTGTCTGGATAATGCAAAGCACAATGGCCGACTGTTTGATTGTACATAGCAACAAGCACTTACCCATGGCGCACAGTTGCCATTCGCGGGATGTGGGCGCGTAGATGGTGATTCTGGACTCCTTCTTCATGCCCAGCTTGACCAGCCCGGAGCCAAAGGCCCTGGTGAACTCGACGACCTGCGAGTACGTCAGCCATTTGTATTCGCTCAGCTTAAAGTAGCTCCACTGCTTCTTTGTGGTCTCCATCTTGCCGTTCACCTTGTGCTGGACCTCGCGCTCTTCGGTGACCGTGCCGATGACGTCGCGCTTGCCCAGGATGGGGTGTTCGGGGCGTGTGTTGAAGCCGTTCATCAGGGCGTCGTAGATGGTCACCACGTTGGGAGACGCACGGTCGACGATGCGGTCGGCGGTGGTGTGGAAGCGCCGGGTGGGGGTTTCCGTGGCACTTCCGGTGCCAGGAACCTCGGACGAGTAGGAGATGGCCATTGCGCAGTAGTATAGAACGGGTGTTTATATATTAAAAATGAGTATGTAGAAAAGAGAAGAGCGAAGCGGCGGAGGGCTGGCCAAAACAAATAAAAAGCGCATGGCCCATCTTTTCTGGATTTCTCCACCCTCTTTTGGCCCAGCCAATTATTCCATATCGCATCCGCGAAAAAGAGGGAGGGGCAGGGCGACCATTTGCGAATCGCCCTGGCCTGCGCCCTTTTCGTCGCTATTACGAAAGACGGCGCAACCCAGGGGCCTCTGCCAGGCGAGCACGCAGACGCCCTCCTCCAATCGCAAGCACGCGCTCCCTGGCGGGGCAGGCCAGTGCGGAGCAATCAAAGAGTCCGACCGCACCGGCTTTCTAGCCAGGATCGGCCGAGTCCGCTGCTGCATGCGACGCTTCGATTTAATTAAACCTGGCATCGCCCCAGCATACGCGCCGGGCCCAGAGCACCCGCCCTTCTCCGCCAGCGCCCTGCAACGCCGGATGCATGCCCACGTGACGCTGCCTCACTCGGTGTGCAGCGGCTGCGTGGGCTCCGTCGAGCGCACAACGCCGCCAAGCAGCGCCCTGAACATGTTGCGCCTGCTTTTGCGGCCGTCTGCTGCGGTGCCCGGCAGCGCCGAGTCGAGTGGCGTGAGCGACACAAACAGGCCCAGGGGCAGCATCCATACACAGAAGAACATAAAGGCGCATACCTGGCCGAACGGGAGGCTCAGGCGGGCCATAAAGTATACAAACCACGCAAAGTGGTTGGTCACCACCAGTGCGCAGCTGGCCAGGAACGCCGGGTCCGTCAGCGATACTAGCGGGAAGCTGTGCAGGTTCAGCAGATACACGTGGTTGGATGCTAGCGAGAGCGCGGTGCGTGGCAGGCTTAGGCCCCCGAGGGCTGCGAGCATGAGAAGCAGGTCGATTAGGTACCCGCCCAGCTGCAATGCGCGCCGCGACTGCCGCGGGTGCTCCTCCACCCATTCGGAGATAATGTAGAGTCCGCAGGCCACGCTGAACACAGCAAAGAGAACCCCCAGCACCCACCCGCCCAAGGCCAAGGCCGCCAAAACAAGCATTGCGAGCGGATGTGGAATGACACAGAAATCGGGAAACACAAAGTACAGCTAAGTGGGAAGAAAATAGGCGCGAGCGAGAGCAAATGCGCTTGTAAAAATGACTAGTCTCCTCAGCCTCGCGAGCTCTCGGCACTCTTTCTCTGTGCTGCAATCGGCTCTTTTTATTTGTCGCCTATTTCGCTTACTGCATGTGCTCGCCGTAGACCAAACCCCCTCCTCTTCCTTCCTGGCCATGGCTCCTATGCACCCGGCGTCTGCACTGCGCCGCCTCTTTCACTCGGCACGACCGCGGCAGACGCTCTGGTCGTTTCTCGACACCGCGTCGCCCAGCGTCTACCGCTACGCCGAGCAAAACTCCTCGCCCGAGCCGCCCGTTCTCTCCACCCTACGCCTCGCCGCCATCGCGCAAGATCCCGCCGACGCCCAAAAGATGATCTCGCCGCTCCAGGCTGCCTTCCTCGCCCACCTGGTACGCATCCAGAACCCCCGCACCATCCTCGAACTGGGCGCATACAAGGGCTACTCTGCCCTCTGCCTTGCCCACGCTGCCTCCGCCCACGCCCGCCTGTGGTCCTGCGAACGCGACCCAGACATCGCCGATACTGCCCGCCAAAACATAGCCGACGCCGGATACGCCCACTCTGTTACCGTCCTATCTGCCACCGCCGACGACACCCTGCGCGACTGGGACCGCTCTATGAAACTCGACTTTGTCTTTATCGACGCCAACAAGGCCGCCTACCAGCGCTACTACAACTACATTCTGGACAACGACCTTCTCGCCGACAACGCCCAAATAGTGGTCGACAACGTCCTGCTCCACGGCAACGTACACTCTCTGCAACCCACCTCCTCCAAAAAATCCATCGCCCAGAAGCTGAACGCCTTCAACGCATACGTCGCATCCGATTCAAGAACCGTCTCCACTCTTCTCCCCATCTTTGACGGCGTCCTAATTGCAACCAAAAAATAATATGCAAAAATATGTGCATCCGCCGGGAATCGAACCCGGGTCTACCGCGTGGCAGGCGGCAATCATACCTCTGGACCACAGATGCTTTG